GCTTCAGGAACTGTGATTCTTAAATCACAAAGATTATACTTCTCCTAACAAACTGTATGTACGTAAGTGCCAACAAGAGACTTTGTGCTGCTTTGGCTTCTCTCCAGAGAAACAGGTCAGTGGTTACCAGGAAATGAGAAGCCAGACCTTGAGTGAAAATATGCTTTGGGAGTGTTCAAGGGGGCACAGACTGAAAGTCTGAATCTGATTTTGCTCTGGTAACTCATGATAAGCATCATCCACTTCTTTTAAATCAAGAAGCTGTGTCAGTTAGTACAGCATCAGGTATTTAACAAAGCCTTCCCTTGCCAATTACCAAAGTGATGATACATTTCAGCTGAACCCAGGCACTTGAATGAGAGACCTCTCCTGCCCAGTACTGTGATCTCATTTATTTCTACTTTGTTCTTTGAAAACACTTCCTCTAATTCTCACCTCCCTGATTAACCTCCTCCTTGCTGCTGAGTGACTTCAGATTTAAGCTGGCTAGGTAATTGTTGATGTTTGTCCCCTGTATGACCTGTGGGATACTGCACTCTTGTTGCCAGTTTGTGTGTGCCTCCCTTGGGTGAAATTTTTGGAATGTTAAAGGGAATTTTTAGTGCAAATTTTCCTTAGAGTTTATTCATGTAGGTGAATAAATATTTCATAGAATCATTTAGGTCAGAAAACACCCTTAACATCATTAAATCCAGTTTAAACCCTTTCTTTGCTGTAAATAGAAAATAAATTAGAGTTGTATGCATCTGTCAAAAACCTGAAGTGATGTAAGGCCCAGAAGAGTGATATGTGAGTGTCTTGCAAAATACAAGCATTGCTTATGTTGAAGTTGTTATTTAGGCTTTTTGTGTAATTAGTCTTCCCAATATGTAGCAGATAGATAATTTTTTCCCCCCTCCCTCTCTGCCTCCTCATAATCAAGTCACAAACTCACTAGCTCAATAAGAAAGACGTCTCTGAGAGAGAAATTCCTCTGAAGTTTTAACTTCATCTTCACAAAAAACTATTCGTCTCAAGCTGTTTCTTCATTTCAACAGTTGACTCAGTTCAGTAGCTGAATAAGAAGTGTTATGTCTTGCGAGTTTGGTGGGGTTTTTGTCTCTAAAAACCTTTCTAAAAACATTCTAAAAACCTTTTCAACTTCATGTTTGATAGTTTCATTTAGCACATAAAGGCATAATTATATTTCTATTTTTTACATGGCATTTGTTCAAGGGGACATACACTAGCAAGTAAAAATACCCTACTAAGTAGGAAACACTCTGGACACATTCAGGTTTCTGGTTTGGATCAGCTGTAGAATTGCTTAAATACACATCACTTTCCTCTGAACATTGAGCTGTGTTCAGATGCAAATAAACAGGTCCTTGATTCCTGCAAGTCTGAGACTCACCCTCTTTTAGAAACAAATATAAACCCAGATTAAAATCTGTGACCTCAAACAAGGTTTCCTGCTTGCTGATTCTTACATATGACTAAAGATAACTTGAATCACTTGAAGTGGGTCCACCCTAAGTATCTTTGGCAATGGCCAGATGTTTGCTGCTGTCAAGCCAAATTTGCAGTGCTAGAGTCTGGAGATGTGCAGGCTGGACAAGAAGCAGAGCACCAATAAGCTTCCTAGCTCTTGCTGAACTGATGGTCCAAGACCTGTAGCAGATCTCTCCTGAATGCTCTGAAAAATAACCAGGATGTGCTGTGGAGCCAAGGAAGAGACCACTAAGGAAGCTGGTGGGGTTTTCCTTCTTTCCTGAGCAAGGATGGACATATGCATCTACCTCATCCCAAACATGCAGAGTAGCTACTGCACCCAGCTGTCTTTCAGAGCCATGTAAACACTCTGGCCAAAAGGTTTTCAGCACCAGGGCATGTTGTCTCTGAAGGGAAACCTCTTGTAGCAGGGAGTGGCTAGCGAGGCGGTTTCTCTGGCTATGAGCTATGTCTCTGTCATCCCTCTGCTTCTTGAAGCTCTTACTCTGCAGGTGTTTTTGAACACTGGGCCTATGTATTACACTGTGTAGTTCCTCCTGGTAGCTTCTAGGGTTGTAACACCCTGTTGTTTGGGGGTTTTTTTTGCAGTCAGCTGAGCACTGTATGCTGTGGTTTCATCTATTTTTACTTATAGAGGTCTCTTTCAGTTTGAAGCTGTATTTTCAGTATGTGAATAATAGAGGTAGAACACAATAGACTGAATTTTTTTATACAAAGTTTGGTTTATTCTACACAGCATTCATGTTTCTAGTTTGTGTGCCTTTGCTGCAAGGTGGAAGTTGAGGGGGTGCTGCATACCATAACAGTTGGGCAGGGAACATGTGGGATGGGCTTGGCACCCACAGGGAGCTGGGAGGCACTGTGGCACTTCCATATTTGCCAGAATCCTGGGAAACATTATCATTAGTTAAGCCATACTGATATTTAAGCATTCATCTTAGTTTCAGAGCACTGCTGAATAGGGACATTTTAAGTATGACAACTGTTGCAAGCTGGCAGCTGCTGCAGGGAGTGAAGAGATAAATTTTTAATGTTTTTTCAGCCATTGCATTTGCAAAGGCAAAAAAATGATTTTTCCAAGACATGATCAGGATCACTCTGCAGAGAAGGGGTGGGTTAGGGATGGGCAGTAAGTAGCATAGGATCTCAGGGGTCTTGATTCAGGGATGTGCCTCTGTCTGTAGTGACTATTTGAGCTTGAGGCAGGCCAGTGGATGAAACCAAATTTCTGAGAGGATCTTGGAGCAAATGCTTCTAGTTCTGGGGGATGTCACTGTTGCCATCTTAACATGATCATACTACACTATGGCCAGTGGTTCCCAGCTGACTATTGCTGCATCCACATACCACTCCTTAACTCCTTTCCCAGGTCAGAAGGAGGATGTGGTGTCAGAGAGAGAACAGACTTTACCACAGCCCCTTCCCAAGGCAGCAAATCACTCTGACAATCCAGTTGATGGCAGAACAAAATATATCCTCTGTATTTGGCCTGTGCATGAATTGTATGTTGGGTACTGGCCAGAGTATTTGAAGTATTGTATAAGAAAGCTTTTTCATTTGCTCAGTTTTGTACTTCATTTTGGAGACTGGCAGTGGTGCAGGTTTGTGCTTGGAGTTTTTCTGTGATCTACAACTTGGAGAGGTGTACTCACCTCTGCCCCTTCTCTAAAGGTGACAAGCAAGAGATGGCAACCTCTTGCTCCTGATGTCCTTTTGGAAAGTCTGTGCTTTGGCCATCTCACAGAGCCAGGCCCTGAACCTACAAATTGTTGTTTGTTGGGCAGAATTTGTGTTTGGGCTGGTAGAATTTCTTGTTTGCAGGAAAAACTCTGTTTCTAAAATCTATTTGGCTTCAAGTCATAGCACATAAACCCACCGTTTGTAGGTGGTCTGTTGAGTTGAAATGTTACCTCACATGCAGGGAAAAACAAGTTAAGCTTTGTGGCATCAATACAATCATGTCACTATAAAAGGTTGGGGTTGAAGTTAATTTCTAAGTACATTGGATCTCATGGAAATGTTTTCCGTAAACTTTTATACATTGGTTTTCATAACACACTGAGATGAAATAGACGTGCTCCCGCAAAGCGCTTAATTCTGGACCAACTATTTCCTACCAGCAAACCCACCGCATTGGTTTTTGCACCTGAGCAGCTGCCGTTTTGGGGCAGGCGAGCCCTTGAACCCAGCCCTGCGAGACCAACAAAGAACCTCCTTAAGAGAGAAGAAAGGGGAGGAGAAAGCGTTGCTCTCTGGCCATAGCAACCCCACCTCCCGGTAATTTCATCTTCCTTACAAGGCTAAAGCTAGAAGCTTTCCTCTGCCTCCAGGCTCCCTTAAAAGCTGCTCAGGATCCCCGTGGAAAAGCAGCCAGCACTGGCCGGAGCACGGCAGGGGAGGCTGGTGCTCTGCAGAGAAGGGTGACAGTATCCTATGAATTTTAAACCAGGTGCTCATTGATTGCAGATCTTCCAAAGAGACATGAAACCAAACCCTAAAAGAAATCTCTGAGGGGGGAAAAAGCACAGCATGAGAGGTAAATATATTTTTCATTGGGAAAACCAGAATAATTGGCTTTGTTTTGTTATTGGGAGTAGATGGCTAAAAACTGGGGATGGAAAATGTATTTACTAACATCTGAATAAAGGCTGGTCTGGCTCTGACTTAAAGAGCAGCACTGGGTAAAATGTCAGATCAACAGATTGAATTCAGGCGCCTCTGAAGAAATTTTGAATTTTCTCTTTAGGCATTCACACCTGAAAACATTTTGAAAAAAAAAATAATCTGCTTTTCTGTTCTGCTGTCTCTGCTATTGTGAAGGTTTTTGAGGAGTAGCATGCACGTTTATGAAAAAAAACAAAACAAAAAACAAACAAAACAGCAAACACACCAAAACAAGAGAGTGGCAGAACTAAAATCTAAATGAGAATGTAATAAACTGTCTCCATCGAGACATTTCAAATGCACCCCTGTTCCTGCTGCTTCTCCAGAAAGATCCTACTGAGCTGGAATGTCTGTTGACATCTGGTTGAGGTTACTATAGCTGGTATTTGGGATTCGTTATTTTCCCCCCCAGTTTAATTGAAACAAGCTGAGCTTGTCTGTGCATTGTGTGAATTGTTTCCACTCTCTGGCTGTCTAGTCTCTCTGAAGGGTAATTGTAGGACTGCTGAATCTGAAGTGGAAAAGAGGAAACACCTGGATAGTTCAAAACTGCAGCTTTTCTGTGGGTTGTGCTGCCAGTGGAAGTCAGAGGGGCTGAAATATGGAAGACTTTGCCCCTTATCTGTAAGATGCACCAAGACTGATCTCTTACAAACATAATACAAGGCTAGAGGACTTACAGCTTATTTTATTCACCAGGTAGAATGAAAAAACTGGCCTTTTGAGAATAGCTGCTGAGAGCTGTGACAAACCAAGAGACTGGAGGATTCCTACACAGCTCCTGTAGATTCTCCCTGAAGGCATCAGCTCAGCCTTCCAGCAAGTGTGTGGGTCCAGCAGCCAAGGATGGAAGTGCTACGCCGCTCCTCAGTGTTTGCTGCAGAGGTGATGGAGGTTTTTGACAGGTCTCCTACTGACAAGGAGCTCGTGTCCCAAGCTAAGGCTCTCTGCAGAGACTACATCAATTCGAGGTTAATTCGAGCAGGTGTCAGCTGGAGCAAACCTGAGTACAATGTCCCAGTGCCTGGGGGTAAGCTGGCTGAGGTGTCCACCATTCTGCTGCGACTAGGTGAGTTCCTGTGGGCATGAGTGTGATCTGAATCCTCTAGGGAGCCGTTCAGACCAGAGTAAACTTTCTGAAACTGATGAGTGCCAGGGAGTCTTTTCATGTGCTAATAGGTTTCTCTTTGCTTCTTTGGGCATATAGGTTTGGTTTTGGTGACCTCCCCTGAAGAGCTCCTTCACTTGCATTTCCTAAGCCCCTTGGAGCACAGCTCAGCACAGTGTTACTGCAAAGCTCCTTTTTTTCTGAGGACTTGCAGCAACTTAGAAGCATGATGCAGTCCAAGAAAGCCCAACAGTAAACTGAGTTTATCTGCATAAGACTCCAGCCATGTAACAGTTTCCACAGTAGTCTGTCTCAGCTTTTAGCAGGTCCTGCAGTGTTTTTGCCAGATGCAGGTGACATGGCTGCTGTGACACAAGCCAGGCTGGCATCTAGTAGAGAACTGCTACCTTTAGACTTGGGCTTCATCCCACAGCTACAAGGATGTTAAATCTGGGCGTAGTTGCTTAGACCATGTGTGTTGGAGATGTTACAAAAGCCACTCTTCAGTGACAGGGTGTTTAATTTTCCTTTGCCTACCTTAATCATTCAGCAAGGTGTTAGTGTTCTTGCTTTTTGTTGGAGCAAGGAGGACTAGGCTAATGTTGCCATTCAGTGCCCAAACTAGCCAGCCCTGCTCATGGCCAGGTGGCTCCTGGGGCTTCAGGGAGTGGGATTGGAAGGCTGTGCCTGTAGGCTGTCAGTTGTGTCACAAGTTGTGCCAGAGGAGGTTTAGATTGGTTATTAGGAGAAATTTCTTCACCAAAAGGGTTATCAAACACTGGAAGAGGCTACCCAGAGAGGTGGTGGAGTCACCATACCTGGAGGTGTTTAAAAGATGTGTAGATGGGACTCAGTAGAGTTTGATTAATGGTTGGACTCGATGATCTTAAAGGTCTTGTCCAACCAAAAAGATTCTATGATTTGATTGCACAAAAGTTAAAAGAAGTCTGGTGAAGTAACCTTTCTCTGGGCCTAACCAACTCAGGACCAGGCTGATCTCTGCAGTTACTCCCCTTTCTTTCTACTTATGTTTGAAATTATCCCAATTTTAAGGCAGAGATGTGTTTCTATTAACTGAATTATCTTTACGCATACATTCTTTCTCTCTCACTTTTTCTGTCCTATGCTGACTTCTATTTTTGTTTCCAGTGATTATTTGGACTTGGGGGTTTTAGTTTGTTTTTCTGTCAATCTTACTGCCTCTTTGTCCTTTATTTCTTCTCTGCCTGGGTTAGGGCTGAGATTTTTTTGCTTTCAAGCAGATCTTCAGTGGGTGGCCAGGAGCATGTTAAAGGGCAAGCAGGTGGCAGACTGGAGCTGCAGGCGTCTCCTGGGTGACTCTCCTGTTACTTATTCATGTCCAGATGGAAAATTTTGGCTGATAGCTTCAGGAACTTGGCTCCCTCTCTGAGCAAATCTGCTTGGAGAGCACCATGTGGTACCCATGCAACAGGAAGGGTGAGCAGTCATCTTTAGTATGATGAAGAGTTGTTTCCAAACCATTTGTTCAGAAATGCTGCCTGCCTCATAGAATCACAGAATGATTTGGGTCAGAAGAAACCTTAAAGATCATCTAAATCCAACCCCCTGCTGTGGGCAGGGACACTTCTTTTCCCCTTTGCAGCCACTGCAAGACTGAGTGGTGTCCAGCCACCTGCCAGGAACAGTAGTCCTTTGCTGTTTACTAAGCAGTGTAACAAGCCTGACCAGTTTTTTTTATCCTCTGTGACTGTGCTGAGAAGCCTGTGGAGTTGAGAACTCAGTATTTCTTAGCTCACTTTCACTTGCCAAGGCAGTAAAGGGGTCTGATGGACTGGCTGGTGGGCCAGGAGAGGTGCTGGGCACAGGCAATGCATTTGCAAAGTCTTGGGGAGAGGGAGCCTGTCAGCTCAGTGAGGAAGGACTTTGGGATGCTCAACATGAAGCTGACAATGTACACTTGCAGCCCAGGAAAGCCAACAGGGTCCTGGGCTGCATCAAACACAGCGTGGTCAGCAGGTCAATGGAGGGGATTCTCCCCTTCTACTGAGCTCTTGTGAGACCCCCCCCCTTGCACTGCTGGGTACAGTTCTGGAGCCCCCAGCACAGGAAGGACTGTTGAAGTGAGTCCAGAGGAGGTCACAAAGATGATCCGAGGGCTGGAGCAGCTCTGCTCTGGAGCCAGGCTGGGAGACTTGGGGTGTTCAGCCTGGAGAAGAGAAGGCTCCAGGGAGACATTAGAGCACCTTCCAGTGCCTGAAGGGGCTCCAGGAAAGCTGGGGAGGGACTTGGGACAAGGGCTTGTAGCAATATGATGATGGGGAACAGTTTTAAACTGAAAGAGGGGAGATTTGGGTGAGACATTAAGAAGAAATTCCTTCTCGTAAGGGAGATGAGACACTGGAACCAGTTGCCCAGGGAAGCTGTGGCTGCCCCATCCCTGGCAGTGTTGAAGGGCAGGTTGGATGGGGCTTGGAGCAACCTGGGCTGGTGGGAGGTGTCCCTGCCCATGCAGAAGGTTGGAACTGCATGACTTTTAAGATCCTTTCCAACTTAAACCATTCTATGATTCATTCTACAATTAGTGCAATGAGTGAGGCAGAAGTAGTAAAACCTAATGGTATGGCCAAATGGGACACCCCAGACCAACATGCCATGTGTCAGTGGTTTGGTTTATGTGAACTTATGTGGCCAAAGGGCAGGCAAGTGCCCCTTTCACAGCAGCTCGGAGCTTCTGCACATGGGGACAGTCACTGCTGCCCTGCTTGTTCCTTTGTGGTTACTGGAAGAAGGAGGAGAAGCACAGAAATTGTTCTAAATGTTGCAAAGTGCACAGCTGGACATCTGAACACAGACAGTGAACTGACACCAATGTAATGAGCTTCTGGAGTGGTCCTGGAGCCACCACAGCAGAGAGTATCCATGAGCCTGGGAATGTTTTCCTGTGTTTTTCCTCCCTTGCCTGCTCTTGTCTGCCCTGTGTGCAGGGCCTGCCTTAGCTGCACGTCTGCCTCCAACCCAAACCTGATCTCCTCTGGAGCCTTCAGGCACTGCTTGTTAAGAGCTTTAGCAGTGGCAGGCTACCAAGTGCTTGATCCCAGCCTCCCATGCCTCACTCTTGGCTAACCACAGGCAGGACTATTCCCATTTCCTCACATTTTCGGGGAAGCCTGTGTGCTCCCTGCAAGGAGAAAACAGCTGGTGAGTAGCACAAACAATGTTTCCTCTTATCAGGCCCGACCATGAGTTGGCAGGGTTTCCTCTTGCCATCAGATTGTGTGGGACAATCCCACACACACAAATGTCCTGGAGAGCTCATGTCTGGAATTCTGTAGAGCTGGGCTTAGCCTGTGTTGTGTTGAGTGCCAGCGACCAGTTGGATGAGTTAGAATCCAGTAGCTAATGACTCTAATGAGCTCCAGACTGGGGTGGCATCTTCCTTTTCAGTCCCTATCTAAACAAATTTTCAGTAGGATCAGTTGCCCTCTGACTAGGGCAGGTTGTCTGGGTCTTGCAGGAGGAGTTAAAGCTGTTGGGACAGCTCTCATCTTCCTCTGGATGCTCCAGAGCACCCTTCTGCAGAAGGATGCAGAGTGTCCTTTTAAATCTAAACCAAATAGGACCCCTGTGTACAAAGGGTCTTGGTTCCATGCAGTGTCTGCATTGTGTAATGCTCCTACAGCAGCTGTGCAACCCTGTATGAACTCCTATAGAGAGAGAAATCCACTGGAAATGGGCATCTACTAATTCTACTGCTCAAAAATGTTTTGTTTTGCTAGAGAGGAAAAGCTTTTACTGCTGTTGCCCAAGATCCATAGCTCAAACATGTGTGAGAAGGTTCTCTGCTTGTCTTTGGTATTTCTGCCTTGGTCTTCAAGCTAGCCTGACACCTCCAACTGTTCCCAGCTGGGGAGAAAACAGCCTGGAGGTGAAAGCACATATCTGCATGCCTGAGTGTCAGTAATCTTGTTGCTGAGGAGTCAGCCAAGCAAATGAACATCTCTTCAACCATTTGGGAGAGAGAAAGAGCTCCAGGTTGTCACGCTGTGCCTGTGTGAGGGTAAACTAGCTGGAACTGATAATCTCTTTGCTCCATGAATGTTGTGCAGCTCTGGGTGGATCCTGAGCTTTCATCAGGCTCCAGCATTCTTGAGTCAGTCTCGGTGAAAGCACATATCTGCATGCCTGAGTGTCAGTAATCTTGTTGCTGAGGAGTCAGCCAAGCAAATGAACATCTCTTCAACCATTTGGGAGAGAGAAAGAGCTCCAGGTTGTCACGCTGTGCCTGTGTGAGGGTAAACTAGCTGGAACTGATAATCTCTTTGCTCCATGAATGTTGTGCAGCTCTGGGTGGATCCTGAGCTTTCATCAGGCTCCAGCATTCTTGAGTCAGTCTCATCTTGAGGCTTTTTTTTTGTCTAAGTCTGTGAGGTGTTGAGAAAGGGCGTATCCCTCAAAAGCTCACAGGGATGGACATTTTCAGTGCTGAAGAAACAGGAGATGGCTTTGCTTAGCTGAGGCCTGGCTGCTGGGTTGGAGGAAAGGTGAGCATCTGACCTGGGAACCTGATTTGTATCTGGAGGTACTGCAGCCTGTCCCCACTCCCTTTCCTGTCCCAAGCACAAGAGATACCAGGAAAGCAGGGTGCAGGTGGCGGGGGGGAAATAAAGCTGCCTCTTTCAAACAAGGTGGATCTGGGCTTAATTCCCTGGCCAGAGAGATACATGGAGGTGGCCTCAGCTCTAATTCCTCCATGGTGAGAGTAGGGCTTGGTGTTCCACATGCTGATTCCTCTCTGTTTCCAGGGGATGAGCTGGAATACATTCGCCCCAACGTCTACCGGAATATCGCCCGCCAGCTGAACATCTCCCTGCACTCCGAGACTGTGGTGACAGATGCCTTCCTGGCAGTGGCTGCCCAGATCTTCACTGCAGGTACTGTGCCCTGACAGATATGCAGACAGGGCTGGGCAGAAAGGAATGGGATGGAGCCACCTCTCTCAGAGCAAGCATGTTTCTGGGATGGCCTGCAAGGTGGGGCATGGTTTCTGAAAGGGCTGTGGGTGGTTTGGCAACGTGCCTCGTTTTAATGGTTTAATGAGAGCTCCTCTGTGCTCTGTTGTTCTGACAGGGAAGTGCCATGGTTTATTATATCCTTCTGGCAGGTTCTTGCCCATTCTAGAAGGCATCTCCTGCCCTTCCTCTTTAGGAGGTGGTGTTACCTCATTGCATAGGGAGGTCATTCATTCCAAGCTCCTTTGCTCACTATTGGCAACTGGAGAAGATTCATTACATGGGAGTCTCCCTTGTTCCAGCTCACGTTGCTGATGCTGGGAGCCAGAACCAGCTCATCACAAGGGAGTTCCTCTCTGTCTGGCTTCCTTTTCCCCAGCAATAGCCAGGACTGCAATGGAGCCTGTTGCTTCCAGTTGCTGCTTCTCCTTTCTCATACTCAGAGCCAGAAGCCCTCAAGGCTAACTGTTCCAGAGAAGCAAGTGCTTTGAATTTCCTTACTGTTTAGACGTGAATGTGTTTCTGTGTCTGTTTGACTGGTCCTGGAGATGATTGTCAAAAGCCAAAGTACACACTCTGCTGTGTTCCTGTGAAGGAACCTCAGTCTCCCTGAAAACAGCCCCTGCCTGCTATTGGAAATGCAGTCTGGCTGGGAGAATCAAGGGAAGAGAAATGGAAATGTTTACATGGAGATTTCTATCAGGCAAGTCCTGATGTGTTTGTAGGTTTTCTGTAGTGTCTTGTGTTGTCCAGGGAAGGGACAGTAGATGTAAGGGACTGCAAACAAACAAACAAAAAAAAACACACAAAAAAATGCACCCAAACCCAAAGACAGCTACTTGCTAACAGCACAGTTGTTTGAAAACACTGGATCCAATGACCTCGGCATGGGAGGCATGTGATTCTGGTAACTTTGGGAGTAGCTGGTGCAATTCCAGGTTTCTTTTGTATTGTCAAATAAGCTTCCTCTCTCAAAACCTTTTTGTCTTCACAATCAGCCACACGACTTTATGTGTATGAACTGCATGGGAACCACTGGCTCCCCAGAGAAGTCCTGTGCTGTCTTCCTGGACTTCAGATTTGAAGTGTTTTGTGGTGGAGAGCACAGATCCTCTCCAGAGTCTCAAGAGTCAGAGTCTCTGAGAGGGACTCTTCAAGCATGGCTCCTGGCAGATTGGAAAGGGCAGATTTCTTCCCTGGATCAGGGAGACTGAAGCTGTGCCATAGGAAATGGATGGAATTGGGTTCTGTAGCAAGTACAAACACAGACTGCCTGTATGAGGTCGTTTTTTTATTTTCCCTTTGGAGGGAAGCTGCAGGGCTGTGGGCTAAGGCAGGTCTGGACCAGAGGAGATCAGACCATCTCCCAGCTCCATTACTTGTGAAGGGACTGAGAGTGGAATTTTGAGCTTACTCTGGAGTTAGAAATGCTCAGCATTGGGCAGGGTCAAGTTAAGCATGATCTGTGCTTCAGTTGTTCCTTGTATGAACAGCGGTGGGACACTTAGGAGGAAAAATGAGGGAGGATTGGAGGTGCTGAGCCCCCTGATTATTTAGGGCTGGCATCTTACTTACTGAGGAGCATGGGATCCATGTGCTTCACAGAAATCCTAGCAAGGTCAAAAGTATAAGAAAAAAGTTTAATAAATTCTCATAATCTCTCCATCTAACGAAAGCCGTCTTAGATGGGGCTTTGAGCAACCTGGTCTGGTGGGAGGTGTCTCTGCCCATGGCAAGGGGTTGGAACTGGGTGATATTTAAGGTCCCTTCCAACTCGAATCGTTCTTAGATTAGATTGTAGCCCTCAGCATCCTTTCAGAGCATGCCTGGAATGCAAATTGCCTTTGCACTGGGCTGGGTTGGGAGGCCAAGTGGGCTCAGAAAGCAAGAGCTTGGCAAGTATGGTGGAAATGTGTTTAAAGTGTAGATGCCCTGTCCTGTCACTTAGTGCTGAGCTTTACCTTCTTCAAGGCTTACGGAATGAAGGTCAAGTTTGCAGGCTCAGGTGTTTGTGTTGTAATATGTAGGTTATCTTCTTAGTTGACTAGAGCTGAGTACATCAGAATTGGCCCACCTCCAAAGCTGAAGTGACACAGGGAATTAAGCCAGAAGGATGGATTTCTGCAGGTGGAGCAGACTGTGTGTGCTACTAAGCTGCATAAAGATGCTGGGGAGAGAACTCTGCTGGTTTCTGGGAATCCTTCTCTCACCAGTGTATGTTGACAGATTTCCTGGAGAGCTGCATCTTTTGGGTGTTCTTCAACTTCTCAAAGTGAAGAGTCAAGTGACAAGTGTGGATGGTTTAAATTTTTTGTTGAAAGTAAAGTTAGAAATTTTAACTCATGGTTCTAAACTTGGGGTTTTCAGGGTGGTAAGAATGGGATCTGGACTCAGCCCTTCAAGGCTGGTAGTGCTGGAAACTTTGGGAATGTGGTAGAAGCCTGGGCTCAACTCTCTTGCTAGTGTTCCTCATCTGGGGACATGGTGCTGCAGGAATGGCTGGCAGGGTGTAGATTCAGACCTTCCCAGTATTCTGCATGCTCTGTTTTTTTCCTCTTTCTCATCCCTGCCTCAAACCTGAAGCTGGGGTTGTGTATTCAAATACTTTCATCAATTTGTTATTGTAATTTCTCTTGCTAGGAGGCTGCTGAGTGGCAGAAGGAGGAGTTTGCTGATTTTTAACATTCCTGGATCCCAGCTGCAGTCTTAAGACTCAGCATTTAATGCTAAATCCAGTAAATGAGAGTTGACTGTGGCAGTCAGATATTCATTCCTAATATTTTCATAGCTCACAGGAAAGAGACTCTTATTGAGCAGAGCAAACTAGAGACTCAAGTGCAGCCTGAGCTTTCATGCCAATTACCAAGGGCTAAAGCATCTCAGCCTGTTTTTCACTGTCCAGTTTATGAAGACAGCTACATTCTGACACTGCAGTGCCTAGACAGTCTGGGCTGCCCCATTAGTCACTCACAATGCCTTTACAGCAAGGGAGTGGGGGATTTTGACCCTATCTTGCTGGAGAGGTTTTTCTCCTTCATCTTTTATGTGGCCTTCTTCCACACTCTGGTCTGGTTTTGAGCCTTCACACTGTAGCTCTGGCTGTACTCACTTCTGTCCACACAATCAACAAGTCTTGAGTGAGCACAAGAAGGCAAGACTGAGGACATCTGACATCCTTCTTGGTCCCACTTCATGGGTACATTGTGCCATATTTGACTTCACAGCAGTCTCTATTCCAGTTATCTCAGATGTTATCTCAGGCTTTTCTCTGATGTAGCAAGGACAGCTTGAATCCCCATTACAGCAAGATGAACAGCTGAGAATTTAGGCAGAAAGTGAGCAGGTCACAGGGCATAGCAAGGCTCAAGCTGTGTTTGGCTTCCATTTCCATGCAACGTGTTAATTATTCTGGGTAAGGAGAGCCCATCTGTGTGGAGACTGGCACTGCAGAGCCCTGACCTGCTTGGAGGTGTTGCAGGATCTGCAGCAGTATCACCCCTGTGACAAGACCACTGGTTCTGGTGTGTAGTCCAAAGCTCTTCTGCAGCCAGCAGGAGACTTTCTACTGACTTTAACAGGCTTTGGATTGGGGCCTGGCTGAGCTGGCATTTACATTAGCTGTTTAAATAAATCCCAGAAGGAAAGGGTCACTTGGTGGAAAAAACAGAAGAAGAAAAGGGAGGTGCATTTTCATTTCCTAAAGGAAACGGTTTCCCCCAGTCAGTAGGACCTGCTAGGCATGAGGGCTCTCCCAAAGCTTTCATCCTGTTTCTGTGTTGTTTTAGGTGCTATTCAGTTTTTAATCAAGAGTGCTTGGGCTGAAGTTAACCCTTTACAACAGAGTTGCATTGGTAATGGTCTCTCAGCAGTAAAATACTTTCCCCTGCAGGAGCAGATGCTGTTAGAAATGCCTCCCACAGCTTCCTCATTGCTTACCCCTTATCAGTGGAGCTTCCTGACCTAGGCACATCCTTCTTGATTGCTTTCTCTCCACCAGAGGGAAAATGTATCTTTGTCTGGCAGTATCTTCCCAGCTGCTGAAATGTAGCCCCTGATCATGTTTCTCCTGGGTCTGATTTGCAAGTTAGATGTTCAGTGGAGCAGAGGGAAGTTGATTTGAATAACTTTGGATAGTGTGGAGCTCTGAGATGCTGCACAGTCGTGTCTTGTGGCTTCTTGAGCAACTCCCAGGGGCAGGCAAGCTGGTATGCAGTGAGAACACTTTCAAGAGGACTCCTCTCCTGCTAATTTGTTTTCCACTGTTCTCACCAGTGTTTACATACCTTCAGCTCCATGACTGGCCTTGAGTCTGCAACTTGTATTTCTTATTTTTAAAAACACCTTCTAAACAGCTTCTTACTTTTTTTTTTTTTTTCCTCTTTTTGTGTGTGTGTCCCCTTTTATTCCATCTCTGTGAGCAGAAGTTTCAGAGCTTTCTCTGTTTTGATTGCTCCTTTCTGGACCTGTTTTTCGTTCCCTCTTGTCATCAGCTCCTGTGCATGCTAGTCCACACAGTGGGAAGCTGTGAATAGATTGGCTTGGTGTTGAGTGCCCATTTCACTCAGTATGGATAGCAGCCAGGCCTTTTGAGGAATCTGGAGCAGGACAGCTTGTCTTCTCTGCTCATGTGCACTGGCTGGATGCAATTCCAGCTTGTGCTGAGGGATGCACCAAGCTTGTGTCACCCTAACACTGGCCTGGACATCTCAGGGGGCAGGGGCACTGCCTGCTTGGTAGATTGTGCTCCTCTACTCCTTCCAAGGGAATCCTTCATACACAGAAGTTAATTGAGCTGGTGTCCTGAAAAAGTGCAGGTGGCGGCTGCTGTTGCCTGTTCCCCTGCCCTGCCTTGGGCTGGGCAGCTGCTGGAGCCCTCCCGGGGGCTTTGGTCCAGAGCAGCTGTTAAAAGGTGTCTGCCCTTCCCTTGCTCAGGGCTCCCCTCCAACACCTTTGGCAAACAAGAGTGTAAGCTGTTCCCTGCTGTCTCAGGTGAGGAGCCCAGCCAGCTCTCTCCATCTTCTGCCTCCAGCAGTGGCAAGGGGAGTTTCCATGCAGAGAAATCAGGAGGGGATTTCCTCCTCTCCCAGCCCCCAGCCCACCTCTTGCCAGGAACAGGAAAAGCAGACTGTGAGATTGCTTTGACCCTTACAGCCATGCTCCATATAGAGCAGGATAATGGGAAGTGACTGCTGAGCCCTTCACATCCATCACCATGATGAACAGATTGCACATTTTCTGCTGCCCTTGTGAAAGGGAGAGGGGCTCTGGCCATGTGCTGGGGAAGCCTTCACCCCCTGCAAGCCCTGCAGCCAGCACCACTACATAGCAACCTGGGCAGGGAAGCTGGAGCAGGTGGGTTTTCACTCCATTTTCCCTGGGAGGAGACCCCTGGCCTGACATTTCTGTAGAGCAAACTGCTTCCCTGTGTGATAGGAAAATCGTGGGTCTGTTGAGCCTTCATCATAGGTTGAGGAGCCACTTTTCTTCTGTTGGAAAGAGAAACTCAGGTTTAAAACTAAGTTAATCAAGACAGCAGCTGTCTTTCTGTACCAGGGTGGCCTCAGCCCCCTCTCAGTCTTAGTTACTGCTATGTAAATATCTCAAAGCTAATGGACTTGCTTCAGATACTTAAGGAAGAGCACTGTCAGTAAAAGCTTGGGAACAAGCCAGGGAACTTTCCCCTGGAATTTTGGGTAACTTGGTTTCATGGAACTCAATATGAAAGAAGCCACATTTCTGCAGGGAGGGCGAAGCATAAAAACTGACTGACACTAAAGCTGAGAATAAGCTTATTGAGGCTCTGGGCCAGGAGGCTGTGGCAAGCAAGAGGTAACCCCTTAAAGCCCTCATGGGGTGGAGAGGTATTGACCTGCAAGATGACAGCCTCCTTCTTGTCAGGAGAAACCCTCTATCAAATGTGTTCTCATGTGGTTTCATAGCTTCTTCCTGCCTTATTCTGCTGGCTGTCGTGGTGACACATTGTGAGGAAGACAGATAAATGGTGTGACTATTACATAGGCAGTGAACTTCCTGAGTGACAGCTCTGGGGAGGGACACTTCTGGACCTACTTAGAAAATAAAATTGGAATAATGGCAAATTTAGCTGCATTAATAACTTCCTCTGATCTTGGAGATAGTTCTGATGAAGGACAGAGTGAGACTCAGAGCTACTGCTGGTACTGTTGCTACAAAGCCCCACAGAAAGTTCATCTGTAGATCTTGATCTTACATCAATCATGAGTGAAAAATGGCTCTTTTGGAAGACTGAATGGATTTTCTTCAGCCCAACAAGCCATTCCTATGGTGAACTTTGAACAGTTTCTTCAAAGTTTAGTATTTTTTTATTTAAAAAAAAAAGCATTTATTTAAAAATAAAAAGAAAGAAAAAAAAAAAGAAGAAAAAGCAATTCCTTAAAGTGTTAATGTGGGTGTCCTTGTAGAGGCACTAAGGGGAAGGATTGTGGAACCTGCACATACTGTAAAGGAACATGGGGAGCTCTGCTACATTGTGAACGCGTTTGAGGAGTCTGGAGCTCCATCCTGAAGAGATGGGCTGGGGTACCTGGGGCTCTAGGAGTATGATGAAGAAATGAGAAAGACTTCATTTCATTTAAATTGTATTTAAGGGTTTGCTGTCTGAGCTGGTAGATTTCTGAGCACATCCAATTCTCTGATTGTGTTTGACTCCTTTTAGTCCTTAGATCTAGTGACTGAACTAATCTTTACTTCCTCTCCTCAGTTTTCTTTCTTGTTGCAACCCAGCAAGGATGGTTTTGTGTGGCTTTTAAATACTCAAACTTCACCTGGCTTCTGGCTACATATGAGAGAGGCCTCAGACAGATTCCATAGAGACCTAACACTCTAAAATACTTCACAGTGTGCTTGTCAAATACTATTTCAGATAATAAAAGCAAGGGGGAGGATTTAACTTCCTAGCAGATCCAAAAGAAATCTGTGTGCCTTTGTGCTGTGGTAGTTCTTCTGCATGGATGCAGAAGGGTTGCATTTCCAGGTCACTGATCCTGATAAAAGCCTGATGAGGTGCTGCTGGCTGCAATGTTTAAGCAGGGAAGATTTATGCCCAGTGGTATTTGCAGAGTGTGGGGGAGACCCAGGGAGGTTGACTGGTCCCCTGACCTGGGCTTATGTGCTTATTGCCAGCACTTACAGGAAGATGACTGCTGCAGGGACAACTTCCATGGAACAGTCAGTGCTCACAGGTCAGAAAAGCTGTTTTCTGGGAGATTAGGTAGCTGACTGACATTCTGTCCCTACACTGCCTTCACTGGGATGGGATATGCAGTGTTAAGTTTGAAGGCAGGGTGGCAAAATTCTTGAAGCTGCCTGGTTTTCAAGTGGAGACTTTTCAAGAGGTATACTTTTTTTACATCAAGGAGGGCTGCCAAACCTCTGGGCCCTGTAGCTTTGCCTCCATTTATTTCTTTTCTTTTGCTCTTGTGTCATGGTAGAACTGCCTGAAGATGCTTCTCTTTGGTGCTTTGTGTGTCACATTGGAACAGTCTCCTCTGATCCAGAAAAAGAACAGGAATCATAGAATTACAGGATGGTTTGGGTTGGAAGGGACCTTAAAGATCATTTAGTTCTAACTCCCTGCATGGTCAGGGACACCTCCTACCAGCCCAGGTTGCTCCAAGCCCCATCCAACCTGCCCTTCAACACTGCCAGGGATGGGGCAGCCACAGCTTCCCTGGGCAACCTGGGCCAGGCTCTCACCACCCTCACACTCCACAATTTCCTCCTTATGTCCAACCTCAATCTCCCCTCTTCCAGTTTTAATTCACTCAGCCTTGTCTTCTCACTACAAGCCCTTTTAAAAGGTCCCTCCCCAGCTTTCTTGCACGGCCCCTTGTCTTAAGGGTCTTTGAGAGTTGTGGTGATGACCAAACCCCAGCTTGGTCAAACTCTTGGAATTCCATCTCCTCCTGTGCAGCGTGTGCCGAGCTGAGAGCTAAAGGCACCATGGTGGTGCACATGTTCCCATGTGGATGATGCCTTTAGGATGCTTTCTCCAAAGCTATTAACAGTGCTGGGGGGTGGGGGGGTCAAAGCATTCCTAGATCAGATCAGGTAATTCTGCTTCTCCAGGTGGAAAGTTTCCCCCCAGTCCTGCTCCCCTTTGGTGTTTCTTTCCCACCACGCCGAACCGCGGCTGCACCTGAGCCCAGAGCTCACAAAGGAAGAGCAGTCACCCTGAATGATTCCAGACTGAGCTGAGTGTGCCTGTGTCAATCTGAAGGACTTTTCTTCCTCTCCTAGGCATAACGTGGGGCAAGGTGGTGTCTCTCTATGCTGTGGCAGCTGGGCTGGCAGTGGACTGCGTGAGGCACGCACAGCCAGCCATGGTCCACACCATCGTCGACTGCCTGGGAGAGTTTGTCCGCAAGACCTTGGTGACGTGGCTGAAAAGGAGAGGAGGCTGGGTAAGACTTTGCTTCCACACATGCAGGCCAGAAAATATCCCACGGAATCATTAGTCTCTAAATAGTTTGTGGGGTTTTTTTTCTTGTTTTGGGAAGACGTGTGTATCCTCAGAAGTTAGTACCTTGTTTTAATTTTTGTAGCGCGTTATTAGAGTTCAAAACTGGGTGTTTTGCTAGTTCCAAATGGGATTTTTGGAAAGTTTTTGCATAGCAAACAAGCTGCAAAACCCACTCCCAGACCAGAAGTGGTTCCTTGCAACTGAGGAGGTTAAGTCCTGTTTACTGCTAGCTCCTTCTGCTGATCATCCCTCTTTGGATGGCCAGCACACTGCTGTTGGGGTTGCTGAATCTATGCTGCTTGCTCTTGGGATCTGGCCCTAAGAAAGGGAAGCCAACCTCACTCAAACAAAGCTGTGGGGTTGAGCTGATTGCAGCCTGTCTCTAGTGCCCTTATCAGCAACTTTGGGCTGCAACAAGGAGATGTTTTCCCTCTAGAAATGAGTTGTTCCTCCTTCATCCTGGGGAAAGGCTGTTAATCCTCTTGCTACTTTGTGCTGTTCTTCTACAGAATCACAGAATGTCAGGGGTTGGAAGGGACCTTGAAAGAACATCTAGTCCAACCCCCCTGCCAGAGCAGGATCCCCTAGAGTAGGTTACACAGGAACACGTCCAGGCGGGTTTTGAATGTCTTCAGGAGACTCCACAACCTCTCTGGGCAGCTTGTCCCTGTGGTCTGTCACCCTCACAGTGAAAAAGTTTTTCCTCATGTTTATGTGGAACCTCCTGTGCTGCAGCTTGCATCTGATGCCCCTTGTCCTATCACTGAGAAGAGCCTGGCTCTGTCCTCCTGAGACTTGCCCTTTACATATTTGTAAACGTTAATGAAGTCGCCCCTCAGTCTCCTTTTTTCCAGGCTCAAGAGACCCAGCTCCCTCAGCCTTTCCTCATCAGGGAGATGTTCCACTCCCTTCATCGCCTTTGTGGCTCTGCCCTGGACTCTTTCAAGCTTTCAACTCTTTCAACTGAGGGGCCCAGAACTGGACACAATATTCCAGATCTGGCCTCACCAAGGCAGAATAGAGGGGGAGGAGACCCTCCTTTGACCTACTAACCACCCCCTTTCTAATACACCCCAAGATGTCATTGGTCTTTTTAACTACAAGGGCACATTGCTGGCTCACGGTCATCCTCCTGTCTACCAGGACCCCCAGGTCCCTTTCTCCCACACTGCCCTCCAGCAGGTCAGCCCCCAACCTGTACTGCTACATGGGGTTGTTCATTCCCAGATGCAAGACTCATCACTTGTTGTATTTCATTAAATTTCTCCCTGCCCAGCCCTCTAGCCTGTCTAGGTCAAACATTCCCTGAATGTTCTGCCTCTTGAGGGAGGCTCTACAGCCTGAAACTTCCCAGCCTTGTTCACACATGGGCCAGACTAAATAGCTGTGGAGTGGAGGACCCTTTCATCTGCTGCCTGACCCAGCTGGTTGTTAGTTTGTTTTGGCATGGAGTCCTTGTTTCTCCTGTGGACTCTTGCTGCCTAGAGGAACCACCTTGCTCTGAGCTCTTTCAGAAAAAACATCATGTAACCCTAGGAAACGCAATCAGAAGTCTCCAGTCCTGCTTCCATAGGGTGTAGAAAGCCCCTACCTCCCAAAGCCCACTCCAAAACGAACCTTTCTGGAGAAACAAGAAATGTTTAACACTTTGAGTCATCATCTCTCACTGGGGAGAGTTTGCAGCCTAATTAGTGGCTTTACAGCCAGAATGGAAAGACTTGAACTTGTTTGAGTAACTAACAGGCAAATATCAAACTGCCATTGCAACAGTTTATCAGTGTCTCACCAGCCTCAAAGGCCTGTTGTATTAAGTGGCTTTTAAATTTTCAATTCCAGTGCCTTATCAGGTGTGCTTTATTTGGATAACAATAGCTAAGGCAATTGTTAAACAGCTCAGCAATTTTGTTTATCTAAGCAAACACCACATAAATGTGGAAGTTCTTCTGACTGCAGCTCCTCTTGATCAGCCACAGGGAGGTTGTTGCCTTTGGTAGGTCACAGCACAGCTTGAAGGGCCTCACAATCTCACCTGGAAGTTAACCCTCTGCAGCTCTGATCAACCTGGTCTGCATGTTTGGGCCTTGTACTGGTTCACATGAGGCACTTAAAGCCCTTTAGAGCTTAGATTTCTTCTTGGTCTGCTGCCCTAACATCTGCATACGTGTTCACACAGTCATGACAGGTACTTACATGTCATGACTTCTCTTGACTAGACAGGCAGCTTGACACAGTTGTCTTTTTAGGGATGTGCTGGTCCCTAAAATTGGACAGGCTGAATCAGTTCAGCCTGTTTTCAAGAGCAAACACGGGGAGTTTGCAAAGCCATCACTGAAAGCATTTCTGCAGACACATTTTACTTTGTTCCACAATACAAATGAAGTGCCTACAGCCACTGGTACTACACTGCAGCATCTTCTGTGAGGTGCTGTCTTGGCTGCTTGTTGTGCTTGCTTGTGCTTCTGTAGCTGTAGGCAGCAGCATTTCCACACCTTGGTGTTCAGCCTCAGGAGCACCCCACATGCTGGTTCATCTTCCTCCTGTCGTCCTGATTCTTCCTGTCCTAGAGTGCCTGTGTGAATTCCTTCAATCTCTACTTATCAGATCTTCATAGGCTCAGTGTCTCCTAAAGCTCCTGGTGTGGGGAGATTAACCATGCCAGCCTTTCAGTCTTCCTTGGGAGGGAGGAACTGCTGGAACAGCACGGGAGGCTGTTGTGGCTGCTGCTGACAAACCTTTGGTCTGTAGCTGACAGTGGAGTTGGTTAGCATGGCTGTAGTCATTCATCAGACAAAGGAATTTGTGCCTTCAGTCCCCCTTGTGTTCTAATTGTTGCCTAGGTCAGCCAGGTGAGGCTCAACATGTTTTGAGCACTGAAAAAGATCACTGGAGTATCCAGCAGCTCTTGTGTCTTGTTTTACGGGAGGAGCATCTCAGGGCTGGGAGTCTGGCTCTGCTTGCTCAGAGAGAGTCTTGTGTCAAAAGGTGAACTTGGAAGACTGCTGAGCTAAGCAGTAAAGAAAAAGCTTTTGGGGCTGATGAATATTTGTCCTCCTTGTGACCTGATTCTTGTTTACATTTGCCACTGGAAAACCACATTGAATTGATGTGCATATCTCCTGGTGGCTGGGCTGAAGTTTAAACACAAACTCAATTATATCGCTGGCAGAACTTTTAATTTGTTTCCCCCACCAGTTTTCTATCCTCCACTGTCTTGTTTGCTTTACTCTCCAGATATTTCCCACCTTCTCCCAATGCTGGCTGAGCTCCTGTCTCCATGAATTTGCTGTGGTGTTGCTGTGGTGGTGTTGTTCCTTGCAGACCAGCTTCTAGTCTTGCTAATACTTGAAAACCAGCTGCCCAAGACATCTTTAAATCTGGCCCACGCGTCTGGGAGGCATCTCTGCCAGCTCACATAATTCCACAAACAAAGCTTGCCTTGCTGTAGATTTAAATTGGGGGTTGGCTGGCTTGGCTGAGTTCCAAATAAAACATTAAGGCAAGAGGGAAAGAAAGTGCAAGCAACTTGAGCTGATATTAAACAGGACAACCTCTGGAAAGCATGTTGCTTTACAGAGAAGGATGAGATTGCTGATGTTGCCAAGGCTTCCTAGCTCTTTTGAAAATGGGAAAGCTTATTTTACTGAGCTAATCAAAATGGAAAATGGTTGACAGTCTTCCTGTAGCACTTCTTTCCCCAGGGGTGGCTGAAAAGGGAGATACTTTGATGCAGAGTGGAGAAAGTGTATTTCACAGAACTCCTGGGCCTGATTCCTAACTCCCAGTGTGGCAGTGCCAGAGCAAGTTTGGGGCTGTTGCCAGCGTGGCAGAGGGACATTTCTGTTTTAAGACAGCTCCCAAAACACAAAGAGACTGTGTTCAGGAAGGAGGCATTGTTATTTATTGCAGGTTTGTACCAAGCTGGGTGCTTGGTGCCTTCCCACATATCAAGCACATCAAACCATGACATATTTATACTCCAAACTATAACATTATCAAGCTTCTAAGTCCATTCTTCTTACAGTGATTACAGTTGGTGATTTACAAATAGTCATAATATGATTACATCACTATTTCTAGTATCACACCTGCTCAGGAGAAGGGTCTTCACCTGGGCAGGGATCTTTTTGACCTGGGAGTGTGGTTTTTACTATTATAATGACATCATAATGAGCTGAAGGACACAATATCACAAGTTCTATGGCTCCAGCTGCCCATGAGTTCAGCAGTCATCTTCATTTTGGTTGTTCTTTATCATCTCCTACCTTCCTTAGGTCCAATTATCCATATAGACCTCAAGTCTTCTCTGCCAAGTCAGTGATTTACAAGAGATACACTTAAAACCTCTTGATAATTGCCCTCTTCAGGGCCTGGTATTCCAGAGTGTCCCTGCTTGGTGCTGGCTGTGATACTCAGTGTATATATAGAGTACACCTTGCCCAAAATAATCACATCATTCTAAATGTCTGAGTTATTTTCCAACAGGGGCAGGGTGTTGTGGGGCTGGGAGGGTCTGCAGCAGTGGGGGATGTGGTTCCAGACACCTCCCTGATGGTCTCTGTTCCCTCCTCTTTAGGCAGACATCACAAAGTGTGTGGTGAACACTGACCCCAGCCTTCGCTCCCACTGGCTGGTGGCTGCTGTCTGCAGCTTTGGTCACTTCCTCAAGGCCATTTTCTTCGTCCTGCTGCCTGAGAGATGAATCCAAGTGGCCAAGTGCAGCTCCCCTGCCCCAGCTCCTCCCTGGCTCCAGAAGCAGTGGGAATGGCAGTCTTGGAAGAGGAGGAAGAGAAGAACCAGGACAAAATAAAAAGGCTTGTTCTCCTCTCCCTTCAGCTGGGACAAGATGATCAACTACAGTCTCCTCTTTGCAGCCACAGGAGCTTCTCTCACCACTAAATCCTTTCAAGAGTCTTGTTTCCCTGGGTGACCTGTGTGTGTGGCCTGGAGGTGGCCAGTCCTTGGGCTTGCTGATTGCTGCTGTGTGCAGCATGGACTGGAGGGGACTGCTCCTTACAGCTGTGTTGCATGTTTGTGCTAGTGCCAGGCAGAGGGGATGAGAAAGGGGACCTTCTTGGAAATGGGATAGAAAGCAGGCGAGGGAAGAGTCCCTTCCTCTCTCCATGTGATTCTGCTTCCAATCCTCAGACCTGCCTTGCATTGTTCCTTGTTACATTTGTGCTTAAACTCCATCTCCTCCTTTACACTTAGCTCTGGCTTGCAGGGCTGCCCACAGCACGGTGGAGGGCATGATGCAGCTGTGGGGTTTTCTTGTGATAAAAACCAACTTAACTGCTGTCAGATGCTTCTCCTTGACATACCTTGGAAGTCAGACTGAGTGGCTGTGTGTGAGGCAGGAGCAGAAGGCAGTGGCATGGGATGCAGTTTGTAAATGTGTGTGGTTATCTCCTCACACCTTCTAGCAACAGCTCAGGATTGAATTTCATAATGAAGAAAAATGTTTTCTCCTGTGAGATTCCATCAGAGCTAAGTATTTAAGTAGGAAAGGCTTGCAGGCACAGGCAGGAATTAGAGAAACAGTAAATGAACTGTCTGGTGGTGTGACTGGGGAAAGCTGTATCAAAAGTTGCTGATTTATGTTTCTCCTTTAATGTCTTTGGAAGTACAACTCATGGTCATCTTTGTGGCAAACAATAAAAGAAAATAGGTGGTGTTTCACTGTTGCAAAGGGTATTGTATTTGTTTCCAGAGTTAAAAATTCCAAAAAAGGCCAGAACAGTGCAGAGACACTCAGGCCATGCTAAAAATACTTCAGCTTTTCCCCTGGTAGAACATGTTAACGTGTTAAAACTACAACTCGTGGGGCTCATGCTGGGGGTTTAACCCATGTTGTTACCATGTCAGAAATGTGCTGGTTTTCCTGGTAGAAGTGGGGCCTTGCTGCTGTTGGCAGGGGAAGGCCATGGAGCCTCTTCTCTGCCAAATATTCATGGAATACACCCTGCTTAGTGGCGCCTTGTTCCACAGGAAAGCAGTGCTCTGGATGAAGAACATGTGGCATGTTGTGAATTTTTTCGCTGGTTTGTTTGTTTGTTTTCTTTTTTTTTTTTTTTTTCCTGATTTCCCTCCCACACCCTGTGTTGAGAGAGACTTTACTGTTTCTGTTCAGAAGTCACAGAAGGGTTTGAAAGTAAAGCAAAGCCTTTGCTTTTCAGTTGTAGCTGTATGGCAGGTTTCTGCTAGCAGTTAGGAGGGCTATGCTCCCATTCTCTCCTTCCTGTGCTGCCTTTGGCAGTGTCTAGGCAGACTTTGGCTACAGTATTAAGAGCTGGGGAGAGGGGGTTGTGTGTGTTATGCTGACAAAATTCCCAGTGTGGGTGCAGCTGATGGTGCCCTGAGGTTGGTGCATTTTTGTGTGAGTAAAACTTGCAGCAGTTCCCCAGATAAAACCAAATTGCTGAGGGTTTTTGTGGTGTTTTTTGCTTTTCTTTCTGACATAATTATATCAGCCTTCAGGGTTTTGCTGGCACCTCTCCCACTTGGAGTTTTCTTCCTTGGATTCCTGATGGATCTGGCTGTGGAAATGTAGACCAGGTACAGTGTACATGACAAACTCTACCACTGCTCTCACTTTGAGGAGCACAGAGAGGATCCCCTCTGATCTGCAACTGATGCTGTAAAAGCAGTTTAGCTCATTGCAGGGAGGTGAAGCTTTGTTGTCTTCAAGGAGCTTATGAAAAAGTAGACTTGGGATTTCTGGAAATACCCTGGTTGTGAGTAGACTTTGACTTGGGCAGTTTTGCAGCTCATAAAGTCCAGCTTGTCTTATCATGCCTAGTTTTTTATGAAGTGTATGTGAGTTAATGGAGCTGGCACAGTGGGACACTGGGACTGTCAAGAGCTTTCTCAATTTAGATGCTGTTTTGAAATGTCACAATTAACGCTATGACTGGGTTGGCTTTTTTTTCAGTAAACAAGTGGTAGCAGAGAACCTATTAAGGAATATGAAGAGTTAAATACACCCAATTAAGTAGGTTTAAGAAAAAGATAATGATAAGCCAAATAAAGCAGCATTGCTGGAAAGGAATGTGTGTGGGTGGGAAGGGGGTTACAGAGGCAGACAAGACTCAGTCTGGAAACTGCTGATAAAGAAGAACCCACAAATAGGTTTCAGACTTCTCTGGCTTTTATCTTTCCTCTTGCATTCCCTGGTCCCTGCAACCAGAGCTAAACAGTGCTGCTCTCCTTGCACTTGGTGTTACACCAGGGTGATGCTTGCACCCTTCTAACTCCTGTAGTAACCACATTGGCACCAGCCTGGCTACCCAAATAAACAGCAAACAGAACTGTGCACACTGCTGTATGTTTGAGAAGCAACAGGGAAGCCTGATTCAGCCAAGTATTTCTGTTGTGTCCAGTTTTAGTTGCAATGTTTAGGCATTTCAGAGTACTTCCAGAGCTCTTCCACAATCTCAACAGATCTGTGACTCTTTTGGCTGCTCCGACGTGATAGGAGACATCAGGGTTGATTGTTTGTCTGCCCAATAAACATTTCCCTTTTTTATGATTGGTGAAGGTCTAGGCAGCATCTCTCATTTATTTAGAACACCAAGAATGTAAATACCAAGGCTAATACTGTTACACTCCATACTGAAAGCCTGGCTGGTGTTCCTCTTCCAGCATCAAAACAGGAAAACACCCAAATTAGCCATCTCACCTTTCCCTCCCATCCCTTCTCCAGTATTTCCAGTTACCTGCCTGAGAAAATTGCTTGTAGTGAAAGTCCTGTTTTGGTGCCTGAGAAAATTGCTTGTAGTGAAAGTCCTTAATTTTTTGAAGCTGTTTTGCTCCCATCATCTGTTCTAAGGAAGATTTACTGATGCATACAATCTGTATTGGAGGGTTTGGCTCCTTGTCTCTGGTTGCTTTTAAGTCCACTGTCCAGTTTCATCCCCTTTTGCTAAAGGACAGCAGGGACTGGGGCCAGAGCTTCTTTTAGCACCGGGAAAAGTAGCTGCTTTTCACCCCATTAATGAGCAGTCCCTTGGCACGTGTAAAATCCAGCCAAGCTTTTGCTGCCCCCTGCCTTGCTGTCCCACCAGAACAGTCTGGGAGGCACAGGGGAAGGGGAGGCTGTTGCTGTGGAAGGGTGGAGGGATGGGACATGCCTAGGGAGTAGCAGGAGGAGGGAGAAAGGATTAGAGATGAGGAAACGGCATCTGAAGTATTTTAGTGGAGTATTTTGCAGATGAGAGTGGCCTGTGTGTTGTTCCAGCAGGGAATGGCAAGGTCAGAGTGTGGAGCCTGGAGGAACATGAGCTTCAGCACTCCTTAGCTCACAGAACTCCCTCCGGGAAGGATTATCCTCTTCCCTCCCAGTGCTGTCTTCATCCTCCATTTCTGTATAACAGATCTGCATTCAGTCAATGGAAACACTTGCTTTTATCTAAAAGGGTAAGGAGCAGAAACGCTGTCTTGGCTTGAGGATTTCCATGACAAGGATTTCCATGATAAGCAATGCTTATCGTGACCTAGACCTGACCTTGCTTCAACCACAGCCTCACTTGTACCTTTCCTTTCTCAAACCCTGGCAGTAGATTCACCTTCTTCCAGGCAACTAGAGAAGCTGAAGTGATCTCAGTCTTGCAGCAGATGTCACTTGTGTTTCTGCCCTGCTTCTTCTCCTGTCAATGAAAAGAAAACAACCTGTGAAGGCCTTAATTTATCAGACTTGCACCTGCGTTAGATACTGAAGCACGGAACAACAGTGTCAGGGAGTGACACTGAGCTTCCCTGGAAAATTGCAAGACCAGACTTCCTCATTTTCAAACTTGGGGTTTGGCTTTGTGGTGTTTTAGACCCCAAGAAAAAGGCTCACCCTGTTATTTTTCTATATTCTTCCTTCAGTGCTCACAGCCTTCAAGGGGTTCTTTTTGGGCACAGTTAAACTGAATCTGAAGCAGGTTTCCAGTCCCTCAGACACCTTCCTGGAAAGATCAGGCCCCTCAGGCATTCCAATGTTTTTGCCAACAGGTTTCTTGATGTGCTTCTCATCCATGTGTGGCTCCTTCCATTTCTTTGCTGTTGTTGTTTGGTTTGGGGATTTTTGATATCTAGTATTTATCATGTTCGTGGGCATAAATTTACCACCAATTCATTATCCTCTCAGAGCAACACCAAAACAATGCAAGCTCCTCAATTAAAGTCAAGAAAACAGTAATTTAATGGACTGCTAGCAGAGCCTTTACATTTCCTCTGTGCAAGTGGTTTGACAGATGGAGTTTAAATACTCCCTCAGAAAAGCCTTTAGCCTCTTTAAATAATTTGACCCAGTGGGATTTTGAGCCCCCAGCACTGCCAAGGAGAGTGTCTTTTGGTTGAACTTTACACTGTCACCCAGGACCTGGAAGTGCACTGCATGTTCAAGCAGAGTCTGTGGGAAATGGAGTGCTCCTGGTCACTCACATGACATGCAGCCTATGACCAGGCAAGGTCAAATGAAATTTAATAAAACAACAAAAAGCAGCTTCCTCTCTCACAGGAAAGAAAAAAAAAGTGTTGGGAAGGGAATTTCCAGCTTCATTACAAGCATATTTCAGAGCTTTAGCTCAGAAGGCATTTCATCTCTTTTCTCAGTCTGTAGACCAGCAGACAGCACTAGAGTTTGTCTCCATCACTGCAGGAAGACTTGAAGATACATCTCTACTTATGTCAAATACTGAATTAGGAAGCTAAGCTCAGAAGCAAAGCACTGAAAACTTCAGTCCCGTGTTTAAAATTTCCTGCTCATCCTGTTTCATGCCCTTCGCTCATACTTCTGTTAGCTTGATGTTTAAGGGGGTACAGAGAAGGGCAACAGAACTGGTAAAGGGTCTTGGGGGTAAGTCTTGCAAGGAGTAGCTGAGAGAGCTGGGGCTCTTTAATCTGGAGAAA